TTCCAGCGCTCCAGACGTCTATCCTGGGAGCTAATTATGGTTATGGTTATTGTTATCACAGGCTACGGCAATCTGGATCTCCTCACCTCATATTTGCATGGGATACTACTTTGGTTCCTCGTTTGACATTACTGACACACAACATGATGAACAGGTAGACACCTTTTCGAGTTGATCAAGTTTGTAAAATCCACGGCATGAATTATATTACTAAGAAATACATTTATAATATTAGGTTTAATGATATTACTTAACTAAGAAGTTAAAAGTTTTCGTTTAATGGTTGGTTGAAAGTCAAAGTTTTACAACAACCAGCTACATATCTGCCAAAATTACTAACTACAGTCTGAAACAGCTACTTATACACTTAAAATATATGCATATACTTGTAAACTGATGGATACAAAGTTCACAGTTGCAGTTTATTGAGCCTAACAACTACTTATCAGCTATTGCGTAATGTACGAAGTTCTAAATTATCTCCCGCACAATGTACAAATCATGTACATTAGTGAAGGATAGACCAACACAGAATCCTAAACAAGAGTGGAACAGTTTAAGTTGTCATAGCTTGAAATATTAATTACCAGCAGAACTACGTGAATATAATAATATATAATACTTCAGATTTACTAATGTATACTGACAGATGTCAAGTATTATAACGGCTACAATATTGGGACTGAAAATGTTTGGAAAATGTGATTACTTGAGAAATACTATTCCATACAATAATTCATTTATACACATGCCTGAACACCTGATTTATTTAGTGCACACAGTACACTCTATTAACTCTCACATCCTCATATTGGTGCGAAATAGCATATTACTGCACGAATTATCACACTGATAGACTGACTGACTGGTTTCAACATAGAACTTTGCACAGATGTGCAGCAGTCCAAGTTGCCAAACTCCACATAGCACACAACGCAAGAGAAGAGAAAGGAAACAGATTCCAAAGAACGGTAAGAAACAGAAATATGATGGAGAAAGAATAGTAATATCGAAGAATAATAGAGTTTTATAGGATATGATAAGTGACAAAGAGTAAACGCATCTGCACCAGCCAAAGAAAAAGATTTTGAACTATATCACTCATTGTCTACAGCCTCCTTTGGTTTATACCATCCTGAGCACCCCAACCAGGAAGCCTACGCCTCCCTACATGGCTTCAGCTAATTGTTATAGATTTCATTGACTGATGAAGCCATGTTTTGGTTTGACCACCACTAGCTAACTCTTTTCTAGCCTGATCAATCCTATTTCAGCTGACATCACCCATCGGTCGAGGAAGGTGATGGCTAGGCATGCGTAACACATGTCCTAACCATATCAATTAGGGTAAATTCACAACCTCGTCGGTTGACTTCCCCTCCTTACCTAGCACTCGACACCGAAACCTAGTATGACTCACCCCATTATACCACCTAAGACGAGAGACGGCCGCAGGCACCTATGATCAAGGACAGCTAGACTTTTCACATCTTCCAATCTCAATGGACATGTCCCACAGCCAATCATAGAGGAGGACGGGGCGAACTGCTGCGCAGTGCACACGTCGTTTGATCGACACTGATAAGAGTAATTGCCAAAAATGAGCATACCTCGATACATTAGTCGTACAGAACGAAGTAACGCTGAAAGGTTGAAATCCTTCACAGAACACTAACATATCATAAACCCTTGGAAGCACTTATTCACGAATGAGTTTGAATGTATACTAACTTAAATAGCAAGTTGTCGAGGATGAATAACAGTTGATAAACACGAATAATATGCATAGGAATTAGTGAAACTGAATAAAGGTCTGGTAAAATTAGAAAATGAAGTTATTTAGAAACTCGTACTAACGTATATCTGTTATCGATTTAAGTATTTGAAACTAAATGATTAGGTCAGGAGTTCACGGTTATATTCATAAACAGATGCATATCTTCCGTGTGTTATTCGTCAAATGTTTATAATTTAAAATTATATATATAGACAGGCAGATGCTATCGATTTAACAGCTATCATTTTGAAAAATTTTAAATGAGTTTTATTTAAATAACTTAATTAACTCCATCTATCAAGATGTTTTTGAATGGAAAATAAGTGAAAAAAAAGAGAGGTCATGCACGAAATTGGAAAAAATTATGATGATATTCGATCTCCTATGCAGAAGAAAACTAGTCGTAAGTAAGTAGTAGGTATCATCATAATGAAAATTTCTTTCATATATATATGTACTTATATATATGTATATAGGGTACAGCAGGTTGAAGATGAGGCAGTAACTCATCTAAGAAGACATTGCGAAATGGTCACGCTATGTCGTGAATTGGCAGAAGTTAGAATTCAAGGACCATTGGATCGGGTCCCAGTGGCTGAATGGTCTACGAGCTCGCCTTGTAACCAGAAGGTCCTGGGTTCGAATCCCGGTGGGTGCGTACTGATGAAGAGCCCCAAACTAGGACGAAACAGCTGTCCAGTACTCCCACGTTTTCCAGTGGTTCTCTAACTGATGTCAGCTCATGATGAAATCCTCCATGCAATGTATATATATATATATTTTAAGCCAACTTTTTGCACCTTTCATTTTAAAATATTAATCACTATATAAACACACACATCTTCCAGCTAAAACAGTCTAAAGATTCACATTCAAAATATGACGGACAAAGTCCAGTGGTAGAACATTGGCCGACCACGCAAGTGGTTCGGGGTTCGAGCCCCTGCCGACGCACTCCTTTGTCTCGTTTAGTCACTAGTAAGCCCAGTAGATAGGTCGGGTTGGCCGTGATGCTGGCAACCGCATCTTGTAAAAAAATATCAAAGCTCAAGCTTGAAACCCTATGTTCCACTTTGAACGCAAAGGAATGAAGTTAAAATTAGTACATCAAAAATGAAGCTTACAAAAAGGAAGATAACATAAGATAAAAAATAATGTCAGGATTCATTAGAAATAATAATTATCAACTACTAGAGATACTGATATATCTTTATAATCTCCAACTCAAACCGAAAATCAGGGATACATTAGTTATTGTCATCTCATTGTATGCCTAATTAAAGCCAACTTAAATCGACAAGATTTTAAGACAAGCAGTAACTGAGCATGTGTAATATACATTACAGTAATCTCAATGCATAGCTTTGTATCATCTGATTAATTGTCATTTCACTTCTATAAAACTGTCATAATACCTTTAAGTAATCAATAGGGAACACAAACACACCTAGAAAAGATCTTATATAGTTGCTGATCAGTCTTTTTAGTTCTGTCTTTCCAATCCATAATTGTTAATTTAGTTGTCCCACTAAACATTATCTGCATTATCTATATATGTTACCACTAATATTTTGCTGAATACATGAATAAGTTACTGAAACAACGGTGAGTTCAGGAATCATTATGATCTCTTAAGTCGAATTAATCAAACACTTCATACAATTCTTTCCATCGAGAAATTTGAATAAGGCAAGAATGACAAATGTAACAGGATAATCTGAGCTCATGGTTTTATTTTTATTATCTCGTGGATTCTTCTCAATTGGTTACAACCTGAACAATACCAAAATTATAAATTGAATTAAAGATCTGAACATACTTTTTTTATAATGATAGTGAGTAATTGATTGGGACTGAGAGTAACATTGGTTAGGAGTAATGTAAGCTGTTAAATAATTAAGAGTGAAAAGGATCGACTCTTTGTAGAAGAATTGCATGACTAAACTTGGAAACAAAACACACAGTTCAACAGATGTTTTGTGGATAGAAACAAAGTTTAACTAGAAAGAGTATAAAAAGCAATGAGTTACGTAACCACAGAAAAATATTACCTATTACTTTCTAGTTGAACTTTGTTTCTATCCACAAAACATCTGTTGAACTCTGTCCTTTTGTTTTCAAGCTAAGCCATGCAATTCTTTCATAAATACTCGATCCTTTTTCACTCTTAATTATTCAACAGATTACATCATCCCTGACCACTGTTACTTACTCTTATTTCCAATCAATTACTCCATATCATCGTAAAAAAAAGCATGTTCAGACCTTTAATTTAATTTACAATTTTGGTATTGTTTAGGTAGTAACAAGTTGAGAAGAATCCACGAAATAATAAAAATAAAACCATGAGCTCAGATTATCCTGTTACATTTGTCATTCTTGCTTTATTCTAATCAAGCAGTCCTTTGATATAGAACTGCTGCAAGCTCAAACAATTGTACGACAGTCAATAAGTTAGTTGATGAGTTATTGTTGTTATTGAAAAACTAAATCACATAAACTGATTATGATTAGATCCCGTATACGAAAAAAAAAGAAAATAACTAGTAAATTATACAGTTCCTCCTACTGATAAAATTGAACATATGAAGCATAATAAATGTAACAGAGTCATATGAACTCATTTTGAATTAATTCGTATATTCTTCTTGACTGCTGCTTATAACCTAAGTGATATTGTGGTGAGAGCTGGCTGCTAGCAAAAGTTGGTAGATAGTAATTGACGTCAATGTTTATGTCCCCAATATTGGTGGTGAGAAAATGAGAACAAAGGCTTTGCGTAGGCGGATACAGTTAGCATATGGATGATCTGAAACAGCCACAAAGAGATGCAAGGTTAACTTTCTGTGAGAAACAACCAATCAAAAGACTGTATTGTCTACTAACAATAATCTACAATAATGTACATTAAAATCTATAAATATGTGTTGATTTTCCTTAACAAACGATCTATTGCCTGGCCCTTGTCTTCTGTTGTTACAATATCAGAATCCGGGAAATAATACAATATGAAATCATTTTACCTTGGGGAAAATTAAACAGTGATAAAACACGTCTCAAAGTTAAATAGTACACAGTAATAATAATAATAGTGATAGTAATAACGATAAAGACAATCGTGTGTCTGAGCACAATGCAAAACGACACATTTACAGGCCAAAACTTTACATATATATATATATACATGTAACAGTAGCATAAAAGACTTTCTGCCCGTACTCACTTGGAAATATCCGTAGTGGTTGTTACTCGATTATTAACATTTCCAGAGGAAGAATTAGCTTCATAGCAATTGTAAAACACTTTCTGTGAAGATGACTTTAAACAACTTTTATTAGTGAATGTTAACGAAGAGATACGATGATTAGATGACTTGAAATTCACATCACCGTTTGTATATGTAGAGGTATATTTATTTGAATGTTTATTATTTGTTAATGATCGTTTATTATTGAGCAGTACTGTCTCCGATTCCATCATATCGGTATCTGTTTGTTCAGGAGGTAGCATCAAGCGTGCTTGTTGTAATTGTTGGTGTTGTTGTTGTTGATGTTGTGAATGACAAGCACGTTGTAAGAATAATCGTAAATATTTAGCCCTTTGTCTATTGTATACAGTAATAGTATCATCCTTATTGATAAATTCATAAGATTTATTTTTAAATTCTGGACGATCTGGACAAAAAACAAAAATAAAATAAGATTTTTTATAAAAAAAAATACAAAATATGGTGTTAATTATTCAAATTAAACGATGGTAAAATGAAAATCAACGACATTTAAGTTAGATACATCCCACTGCTGTTTAAGATATGTCGATCATGATTTAATTAATCACAACTGACAATCTTAGTTCTGTCACTTCAATTTTAGATCGAATGAATGAAGTACAAAAGAAAACAGCATTTGACTTAGGTCTGTAGAAGAGAAAGATAATTGTCGATAGCCTGATGGATCGATACAATGATCTATTTACAGAAAACCCACCTGGACAGGAAAGTAGTTCAATTACCACAGCTTCTTTCTTGTTCGATACAAAAGAACTATAGTGAGGTGCTTCCAGTAGGATTCATATGAAGGTGAGAAAAGAAAACTGACAGAAAATTTGACTGATAATAATTATTTAGAGAAGTTCATAAGGAGATAAGGAAGTGATCAGACCACCAAGAGCTGTTCTCCAACTCGCCACACTAAGTAGGATGTATACATCAATTTTCGCTACACAGATGATCATAGAAGCTTGATAATTAGACAGAGATTGAATGCTGAGGTTAAAAATACTTTCTATGCAATAAAGATCCGAATAAATGAGAATAAGAAGCCTATAAATCTATCTAAGCTCTTGAAGCATACGAAAAACGGTGTCATATCCCAATGTATCTACCAATTTTTGAAATGTAGATGTAGTCATACATATATTGGGAAGACTCATCGATCTTCGCAAGTAAGGACTTAAGAAGCAAATAGAATCCCCTGAACCCATTAATAGTGAAAACAGACTACCTAGCTCCTCTAGCGTAAACATATATATAAAACGTTTTTGGGACGTATCTTAAGGTTTTTGGAAGCCCTGGCGATTAGGATGTTTAAACCACCGATATGTGTTCAAAAACAATTTGTCATCCTACTAAACCTCCTTCCGTAAACTTTGTTTTGATACCAGGACAGATGTACTATTATCCCCATTCTTCTTCTTCGGTTTATTGATCTCCGTTGTCATTATTATGACCTTGAAGACAGTCTTTTACCTTGACCTGTGTCTATTCTCTCACCCATTAATGCACTATTATTTTCACATAAATATTATCCTATGACAAGTACGTTTGCGATCAGATTGTTCAAAATGTGTTGGACAAATACACTACACGATTCACATAAATTACTTTCTCTAATTGTTTTGTCAAAATTCATTACGGAAACTAATCATTTCAAAACAATTTTAATTTAGAGTAAAGCAGAAAGAATGTAAAGATGGATAAAATATTAAAATGTAAATGGATATTAATAAATATCGACTTTGTGGTAAAATACAGCCCGTCTGCAACATGTTTCCAGAACAAAAAGGAACATTATTTAGAGCTACTACATAACATGAGTGAAAATCAGTAGGAGTACAACACCGAATGTTTGAACGGTTATAAGATAACCTTGTTTCCCAATGACGATGCAGATGTGATAGTATTTGTAACCGAAGTATAAATGGTCCATACGAATTGCGCACATTTCCTCTAACTTTCGATTATATTTTTATTTCATTCATTTGCGTTCCGAGTGGAACATAAGGCTCCAAGCTTAAGCTTTGAAATTTCAGTAACAGTGGTGTTTCTTTCGGCGTGGGGTTGCTAACCTCACACCCAACCTTCCCTCTTTGTCAGGCTTACAACCAGCTAGGGTGAGGTAAAGATGTGCACCAGGCGGGAGTCAAACCCCGGACCACATGCATGGTTGACGAGCATCCTACCACCGAGCCACCAACGAACTACATTCGATTGCTGAAAATTAAACAGCTTGTAATTTTGATACTATTTACCATATGGAAGTTTTACATCCATACTGTCCATGTACTGCAACACCAACGCTAGGAGCTCTTAGCAGCACTTCCCCAATTTTCGTAGTCAAATAGCCAACCATAAGTATTCATTCACAGGTTAGAAAACCATTTAGAAAAAAAAACTAAACAGACTAAAGTTTATCTATGCTCGAAATTCCTTAGAACTTCCCTAATGAAAAGTTGGAGTTATCTACTTCAATTTCGCTGAGATATATACACATCACTGGGTACCCAATGTTTTAGAAACTGGTGGGTCATATTGTCCCAAGAGTTCATATACAAACAGATATAATTTTCCAGTGAGGAACGGGGTGTATGTATAATAAAATGGTATGTCATAACCAACAATTTCTAAATAAGTACCGGGAAAAAGTTATTTAAATCTGAAAACATTTCGTATAAGATTGAATGATAATTTTACTGATATTATTATTGTTGTTATTATTTATGATTCCCTAATGTTTCGAGTGAAATACTGGGCTGCAACAGCACATATCCATTTCATCCTGTTCTTTTTAGTCCTCTTTACCTAGCTCCACGACTCCCTATAAGCTCTCATCCCCTCCTCACACGATACCCTCCATATCACCTTTGCACCCACACCCAAATCACCGTTTCCACTTGTGAGCTTGACTGGCGTAAGGTATCATTCAACTGTCTCCTCAGCATATGTCCGAACCATTTCTCTTTTCTTCAGCATATTTGTTGGGAGATAGGCGCTTGATTCGTTGGTTCCCAGAGTCCTACGTTGCTAATCCTTTCTGACCAGATTAGCAACAAGGAGTGAAATTATGTTTAAAAAGAAATTTCATGTATACTTTAAAAGTATTATATATTTCACAGGAATTTTTTTACGCCACACACGAAGAATGAACAGGGGAAGAAGAATCGGATAACTACCATTGGTAATTAAGACTAAAAGTATGTTGTACGCCCTATGAAGCTAAATTCCAATCTGAATAACTTTCACAAAAAGAAATAATATATAAGTGCTTGCTTGGTTAGGAAAAAACGAACATTTTTCTTCCCAATAAAGTACTTTTCCTCCAAAAAAAAAGAAATCTAATGACATTAGAAGCACGTGAACAAAATGTTGAGCATCAAGGTGATTTCAGTAAACTATGAAGGACACACACAAGTATACTACTTTTTGATCACGAGCAAGAAGTAGTTTTCACCAATTGTGAACTTGACCAACCACAAAACACTAGGCATGATGAAAAGGCATTTCTGTCTTCATTTAGATTAGAATTTTTAAAAAATACAAAAAGGGTGTTATTTACAAAAATTTCTTAGGAAAGCAAAAAAAGCACAGTAGGAAGTATATAACTAATAATTACTGGGGGAGAAAAAAAGTGATTCCACCCATTTTGATAAAGTAATTATCTCACGCAATAGTTTTCCGTCTACATATATGTGAACTAAATGAAAATAACAGAAATAAAACTGCAAACAGAGTATAGAATACAACTTACCACGGCTTTCAAAATCCACCCCGTGTTTCTTATCAAACTCGTCTAACTATGAGAAATAAAGTACAATTGGGAAAAAACAAATGAAAAGAGTTTTGAAGCATAGTTAATTTAAAATCAAAAACCTATCAAGAGAACTTATTACTGCTGCAAAAGTTGTCTTCCTTAACACCAGCAAACGAGTGCTTCAACAATCTGGGAAAGACCAGTCACCAATCCCAGATACTTCAAACTGAGTACATCAGACTGACTGACTGGAAGTTGTGCGATTATATTGGTTGGAGGACTTTATTATGAGCCGATATCGGTTAGAGAACCATTGAAAAACTTGGGAGTACTAGACATGTTTCGTCCTGGTTTGGGACTCTTCAGCAATAGGACGAAACAGCTGTCCAGTACTCCCACGTTTTTCAGTGGTTCTCTAACTAATGTCAGCTCATGATGAAATCCTCCAGGCAATCAAACAAAACCAAAACTTAAAAATTGCGTGATTTTAATTGATATGATTATGAACCATAAATGTGTTCGAAACTTTGTCTTCGAGTAAATAATACTGTATGGAATTGCATACTACCACAGTGCCCAAGGTGTACACACATATTAATAAGGTTGAGTCTGTTTGTGGAAGCAAATACAGAAAGGCGATTGTCTATTCGAATGATGGAGCATTCGTTGAAGTGGTTGAAAACAGAGGAAGTCAAAGTGCCAAAAAGTTCAGTAACAAAGTACCTTGCAGACTAAGGATATGATATTGACGCTGTCAGTCAAGTCATTCAGTATTGTCAGCAAACAAAAAAAACAGGAAGATGCTTGCAAATTATGGAGGTTTGTGCAGTTAGAGTTTATAAAGCAGGTCTCTGGGTACAAAAAGAAGTGGTCGTCACTATGAATCTACCATGGTAATGTTTTACTTATTAACTGTTATTATTATTATTACTTAGTTCTCAATTCTTGATATATATTTAAGTTCTTTTTCTGATGACTAATTGTTTGTTTAATTGATGTAATTGAACCGTAATGCATTTAATCTTAATTTTAATCTTTCATATTCCCTTCTCCTAATTGAACATGACCTGAAAACATTCACATCCATCGTTTTTCATGATTAATTCAATGTAGTTTATTTGCTTATCAGTCCTATATCTTTTTTTCCGAGTTGATCACGGATTGATATCAGTTAGAGAACCATTGAAAACCAGGGATTACTGGACAGCTGCTTCAACCTAGTTTGGGAATCATCGGCAGTACACACCCACCAACCAAGTCCAAACCCAGGACCTTCCGGTTACATGGTAAACTCGTATATCATTCAGCCACTGCGACCCGATTCAATGGCTCATGAATTCTAACTTCTACCGGTCGGTCGGTTTTCTACATAGAACTTTGCACATATGTGCAGCAGTTCAAGTCGCCACACTCCATGTAGCACACAAAGGAAGAGGAGAAAGTAGGAGAAATGCATAATATAGACAGTAAACAGAGGTGTGAGACAAAGGTATAGTAATAACGAAGGACAAAACAGTTTCATTGGAAATCATAAGTCACAAGTCGCAGTGGATGCATCTGCGCCACTGAGAACGGTTTTGAGCCATGTCACCAATTGTTTCCAACCATTGGTATTTACCGTCCCGAGGACCCCAACCAGCTTCTACCAATTCGTGATTTAGCGCAACCCCAACCATTGTCGTTGGTGGGACATCCATACACACACGTGAGAATTCTAACTTTATATATATATATATATATATATATATATATATATATATATATATATATATATATATATGGTGAGAGCTGTCTACTAGCCAAATTGGTAGACAGTAATTTACGTCAATATTTACGTTCCCAAGATTTGTCGTGAGAAACAACCAATCGGAAGACTGTTTGTTTGTTTACGTATTCATAGTAATGCGCATGAAAACATATATAAATATGCGTTGATTTACTTAATAAATGATCTGTTGCCTGACTCTTGCCTTCTGTCGTTACAATTGGTGTCGCAGCCTACCGACAAATGGAAAGCCTATGCCCTGCAGTTTTTGATGAAGACATATGGATCTTCGGGCAGGACTTTGAGGCTTCGTCGCAGTTGAGTGGCGTCCAAGATCTGCCAGCGATGAGGCTGCTACTTGGGACGCTGCTGGGAGGTCGGGAGAAAGCAGCATATGAAAGTGTGAGCAGAAATACGTACGAATGTGCGGCAGGGTCAGGCAAACAGTTTCCAAAACGGGAAGGACCATACACAGTCACAAAAAGACGGGGTCAAGTATATACCATCAGAAGAGGTGACAAACAAAAACGAGTTAACGCCAGTCAGATCCAACGATGGGTGCATTGGGACAAGCCGGTCTGTAACAATCATCAATGAGAGGATGCATCACCCAGAAGGTCGGAACGCCTGCGCGCGAAGCTATTTGACGGGGGGACGATTGTGGTGAGAGCTGTCTACTAGCCAAATTGGTAGACAGTAATTTACGTCAATATTTACTTTCCCAAGATTTGTCGTGAGAAACAACCAATCGGAAGACTGTGTTTGTTTGTTTATATAACCATAGTAATGTACATGAAAACATACATAAATATGCGTTGATTTCTTTAATAAATGATCTGTTGCCTGACTCTTGCCTTCTGTCGTTACATATATGTATATATATATATATATATATATATCCATGTATGTAGAGTATTCAGTGGAAGAGTCCTACCTAAATTTGATGAATTCATTAAATCTTGCTTTATTAACTTTTGTTGCTTATTTTAAAATGCAATAATGAATAAGGAAACCAGGATCCATAAAAATCCTCTTATGTACGCAGTGTTGTACTAAAAATATTGAATTATGCTACAAAAAAAACCATCGTTGTCCATATTTGCTGTCTATTTCACATTCTTCATGATATCGGTCACCTTTACAGTAAGTCATTTTCATTTGACTAATTTAGGTCATGCAGAAGAAAAAAACAACACTGTTAGTAATGAGGCTATGAAGATTTCATGACAAAATTTGTCACAGTCGAAAACATCTCTTCTATCCTTACTTTCTAACAATTAGAATTAGGTAATTAATTGATTTTAAAAATTCTCTTAGTCTAAATAAAAATATATAGTAGTCGTATGTTCTAATTACAATGAAAGACAGTATCGTTGTAGCACAACGTTAAACAGAATCTTTATACACCATTTTTTGTCCGTATCTTTTTGGTATTTTAGCTAATTTAATTAATCAACTTAGTAGCTGGAAATTCACACCTAGACTAAATTGATGCCTTCATTTTGGTCGTAGTTTTTCTCTCTATGAATATTTCAAGAATGTAAGCACCATTATATGTGTAATATGCACTGCCTGGCGTCAGTCAACTGTCAATAAAAGACAGAAAGTTTATAACTTTAGTCATAACCTAGCGATAATAATTTTCAAATGGATTTAAAAGCCAATATAAACCTACGCAAATTTTTTTCTTGAGATTGGAAACTATGGAGGAGGATGTATAGTTACAACATCTACCCTACTAATGCGGATGAATTATCGTGAAGTGGTATAATAAGGTGAGCAATACTGAGGTTAGGCGTCGAGTGCTAGGTAAGGAGGGGAAATCAGTCGACGAAACTGTGAAATTACATCGAATGAGATGGTTAGGACATGTGTTACGTATGCCTAGTCATCGCCTTCCTCGACCTATGGGCAATGTTAGCTGATATAGGGTCAAGGCTGGAAAAGAGCTAGCGACAGTCAAACCAAAACATGGTACCAGTCAATGAAATCTACAACAGTTAGTCTAAGCCACGTAGGAAGGTGTAGACTTTCAGACTGGTTGGGGTCCTCGGAACGATAAAAACCAATGGTTGGAAACAATTGGTGACATGGCTCAAAATCGTTCTCAATGACTAGCGCAGATGCATCCACTGCGACTTGTGACTTATGATTTCCAATGAAACTGTTTTGTCCTTCGTTATCACTATTCCTTTGTCTCACACCTCTGTTTACTGTCTATATTATGCATTTCTCCTACTTTCTTCTCTTGCTTTGTGTGCTACATGTAGTGTGGCAACTTGAACTGCTGCACATATGTACAATGTTCTATGTCGAAAACCGACCGACCGACCGACCCTACTAATGCGTAATGAGAAAAAATAAAGCAAGCCAGGTTTCAGCATGTGCCAACATCACTTAAAGAACTACTGAAAACCAAGAAGCATTGAGAAAACAGTTTCTTACTAACTTAGGACACTCTAGAAGTGTGCATCCCCACATTCTCACCAGGATTTAGTACATTCACGTTTCTTGACGAATCCGTCAACTACATAACATGTCAGACAAGATACTAACCGAAAGTGAAATCTCATTACTACAGAAAGGTCTGAATTTCAATATCACCAGAAAGCCATTATCGGTCCAGGAAATAGCACCTATCATTGAACCTGCTCTACAACAATTCACCAATGAAGAATCACAACCTGTTCGTCAAAAGATATCACACATATTAATGACACAACGAAACATACCATCTAATCTCAACAAACAAGAATATGAAGCCTTAAGAAATTTGAAGAAGGACAAAAGCATCGTTATAACGAAAGCCGACAAGGGAAATGTCACCGTGATTATGAACAGAACGGATTACGAAAAGAAGGCGATCGAACACCTATCTGAAGGACCATACTTACTCATTGAAGAGAAGAAGAAATCCGCCGAATTCAACAAAATGAAAATAAATACAAACAGAGTCCTTCAAGAAATGAAACCCAAAATTGGAAATCCTCTCTGGTTTAAACTAAAACCAAAGTCTTATGTACCTTCAAGATTCTACGGTCAACCAAAGATACATAAACCCACAGTTCCATTGAGACCAGTAATAGATTTCACCAACTCACCGACATACAACCTATCTAAATACTTACTCTCGATACTACAACCACTACAAAAGGACACTCAAAATATTGTCAGGAATTCATATGATTTCAAATCCCAAATAGAACACCGAGAAATTGATAAAGAAGACATTATGGTAAGCTATGATATTAACTCATTATATACTAGTATCCCCATTACCGAAAGTCTTGATATCATCTCCAGTCTTCTAGAATCAGATACAACGCTATCCCAAAGATGTCCACTGGACACCAGTCAAATAATTAAGAGCTTAAAATTCTGTCCAGAAAATAATTATTTCACATTTAAAGGGAGTTTATATAGACAGACAAATGGTGTTGCTATGGGTTCACCAGTCTCACCAATAGTCGCCGACCTTTTCATGAATAAATTCGAAAATAACATCTTTTCAAGCATACTCACTCCTAAAATATGGTTAAGATATGTGGATGATACTTTTGTAGTACTAAAACGAGATCTACACAATTCATTCCTGGAGAAAATAAACTGTGTATGTCCCAGAATCCAATTCACTTCGGAAGCAGAATCAGACATCGGTGAACTACCATTTCTAGACTGCCTAGTTAAGAGAAAGGAAAACGGACATTTTAGTATATCCATATTCAGGAAGAAAACCCACTCAAATAAATATTTAGACTTCAAGTCATCACACCCCATCAGCGCAAAGATTTCAGTTGTTTCAAGTCTTCTTAGACGAGCACACTCTCTGATAACCGACGAGAAAGAAAAAGAAGAAGAAATATCAAACATTACTGAAACTCTCAAGCAAAACAACTACCCATGGAACTTCATCAACAAAATCAACACAGACATCAAGTATGGCCGAAAACGCATCCCGAAAACATGGACATCAACAGTCGTCATTCCATATAGAGAAGAGACGTCAGACGATATCAGAAGAGTACTCAATCAGCTCGATATTAGAGTTTTCTTCAAAACATCAGACACACTTCAAAGCAACCTTGTCCATATAAAAGACCAAATCCCTAAAGATTCGCTATCTAATTGTGTCTATAAGATAAAATGCTTAGAATGTGATGCGATATACATCGGACAAACTTCTCGAGAAATCAAAATCAGAAGAAATGAACACCGTAGAGCATCTCTTCGACCGCCGAAGAATCCTGTTGAACTACAAAGACTTGAAAAATCATCAGCCATAGGTCTACATGCCATAGAATCAGGCCACAAAATTGATTTTGACAATGTTGAAATAATCCAGAAAAACTTCAGAAATCACAAAGAACGTTTAATATCAGAAGCACTTCATATTAAGTGGAATCAAAATTGCCTGAATAGGAATGATGGACTAAAACAGAATCTGACCTGGTTACAACACCTCCCTCCCCCCCCATCAAGTGACAAAACCAACACGAATGTGATAAGCACTTTCATTATGTAAACACACGCTGCTTTTATAATCTCATACACTTATCAAATCCAACAATCTACACATGATGATTTTGTTATCTTTACCAATTCACCAACTTAACAACTAAAAATGCCCCAGACAGACGAACGATGATCAAGTTAGTAAACTTTTCTTTCTTTTTTCGATATCATAACAGACATACTATTACCTTTGTTATTTGGTATAGTTATCTTCATCGCTATTTTTACTTTCAATATGTCCCTTTAACTTGACCTATGTCTATTTTCTCACCCCCTAACTGTTTGTTATATATATGCTGAGATTTTGTAAATTCCGGTTTAATAATACTTTGATAAAGCTATTAGCATTAAATAGCGAAACGTCAGTAAAAACAATATCGTTTTGTTTTTCATTCATTGGGAAATACAAAAACCTTTATTATAATGAATATCATATACCCAATGCCCAAATTTTTTCAAACCGTTAAAAGTCAACTTGGTTTGGACATATATATCAGTGTAACAAGGTTGGAATCAAATAACCCGTGAATTCTAACTTCTGTTCATTTCTTTCCAGCTTTCCATTATTTGCTGACTGATGTCCATTTGTGACGATATCTATCTGTGAATCAGTTGAATCCCAACAAGCGAAATTCTCCGGAACTGAAACTAAAATCACTGTCTAACATTAATCAACAGGCGTCAGACAACACATTCCGCCTAGCATTAACATATACTACTAAAAACACTAACATATTAATAGTTAGCACACTCATTTTATCACGTTCCACCTTAGAAAAAGTGACAATATGAAGTAAGAAGACGACATTGAACAAAAGATGTACAATGAAATAATCTTCTCACCTTCTCAAGATCCTTGAACCGATCATCCTGTTGGACTGCAAATTTTTTGTTTACATCAATTGATTTAAGAATATCATTATAACTGGAATGCATTTTCCTGTCTAACAGGCTGTCAACGCTGAATGAATGGACAAGTTTTCATTAAGATTTGAAGAAAAAAAGGAAACAAATAAACAATACTTTAAATATACCAAAATGATTTAGGAAATAATTCAACAAGTTCTTGAATAAGTTCGACTGGGTATCCAAGGGAACTTCTTTAAAGTTAGTATAAACGTCATTTAAAGACAACAAATGAATTATTCTGAAGTAACTGACTATTAGAAGTGAAATTAAGCCTAGTCAGCATCTTTCACGCAGCGAAAAAATTATCGGACATGATTATTTAAGTGATATATCCGCACGCCTTTCAGTGATATATATATATATATATATCACTATGTCTACATAAAGACATTTCACTTGTAAATAAAGTAACTGAATAAATATCCCTCCAATGGATCTTTTTTTATTTACAAGAGTTTGGTTTGTAAGGATTAGATTTAATTATACGAGTTTGACCACGGAGTGATGTCAGTTAGAGAACCATTGAAAACCAGCTGGGAGTACTGGACAGCTATTTCATCCTAGTTTGGAAATCATCGGCAGTACACACCCACCAGCCAAGTTCGAACCCAGGACCTTCCGGTTACAAGTCAAGGTGGCTCGTATACCATTCAGCCACTGGGACCCGATTCAATAGCCATCCCATGAATTCTAACTTCTACCAATTCGTGATTTAGCGCGACCACCAACTAATGTCATCGGTGGGACATCCATCCTCACACTTGGCTGGATGGACCACCTCACTGGTCACGATTTCTCAATAGAACTCCAGGATACTCTGTCCTGTAGCAAGTCACTAGCGAACATCAGATTTGCTGTAGTTGAGTTCTCTGAGCTGGATGGTTTATTTGCGAAGCTTTCATTGCCCTACTAGGCAAGATCTTCAGTGCATACTTCAATTTGAAGTGAGTTTGTCGATTTCTCCACGAGTGATTTCACTTCACTCAGCTCTGTGTCAACTGAAAGACTCAACAACGAAAGACGATAAAACCAACATCATCTAAAAAATAAGTTGCAACGATTGCGAAAAACACTACACTGGTCAAAGTGTACGTCCTCTTCGTCTTAGTATCCATCAGAACAAACTAACCGTCAAAAGATACGACATCCACTCCCTCGCTCATTTCGCTGCACACAGACAACCATGGACATCAATTCGACTGCGACAACTTTCAAATATTAGACAGAGGAAACACCAAGAATGCTAGAGAATTTTACGAAGCTTGTTATTCCAGTGAATCGTCAATCAATAGACACATTGAAATAGACGAAATTTACCAATCGATAAGTAGGAAATCTCACACACAAAAGGTCAAAGTTCAAGTCAAAGAAACAATCAGTACCAATGCAAGTAGCCTAGAGAGTGCGAAAACACCAAAACAACCAATCACGTTTAAGGTCACCCAACAGGAGAGATAACTAATAAACTCGTGGAGAAATCTAAAAGCTCACTTCAATAAATTGAAGTATGCGCTGAAGATGTTTCCTAGTAGGGTAATGAAAGCTTCTCAAATAAACACAACCACATCAAAATCATCCACCTGAGCTACAAATCTTCTCCATCATATCTAAGTCTTAAATAAGAATTACAGTAGATACTTCTTCAATGTAATGATAATAACTTAGAATCGAATAGTTGCTATCGCATTATTTCATGTTAAGAAAAGATCATATTTTCCCTGTAATCTGAGGACTGAGAAGGTACAGAACAATCCCTTCTAAACAGAGAGTTCTTTCTGAATTTTAATTTAAACTATACATAGTTCCTACAGAAGATCTGCAAAGAAATCAATATCCAAAGATCATAAAAACACTCTGTGAGAATAAACATTTGTAATATGATCAAACTTCTTTATTTATTCATCTGTCACTTGCCAATCTTCATGAACAGACGCAACCATACAAAAACTTAGTATACTTCAATCTTACATAACAAATGTAAATCTCATTCACAGAGTTGATAGCCTGTTCCTTTAAGTAAGTGGAGCACTCACTGCGAACGAAGTAGATAAAATAGCTAAATGCAGAGAAAGTTCATCATCAAAATTGGTTCAAATAAAGTTTTATATTTTGACTAGACACTAACTGCTGTCATGTGTCTAGTCCATTGTTTGGTGCAGACTGAATTCTATCAGTCAAGTTTTCAATGTGGCCACCAGGCTAGGTAAGTGGTTCACCATCACGGTGCGCTCAGAATTGTTGTTATTACATGGTCGGAGGTAATCGGCAGGAAGGCTTGCTTGATCTAGGTTTCGTGCTTGCTGGCACTCACCAGTCAGCAAGGCGTATCTGCCTTCTTGGAAGGAACTCATGCCCCTGCTAAGATTCAAACCCGCATCACCTAGTGCTGCAGTCCGAAACGTTACCACTGTGCTATTTGGACTTACAGTTGGTCTTCTATAGGGCTGTATTCGATGCTTTGATTGGATTCTAACGCATTGACTTCAGAAGACTAATTACTTGGATACTTATGAGTGAACACTAAAAATGAGGTACACCTAATTTGTGTGATAGTGATATTACCTAACTGCCCAAAACATTTAAAATTAAGCAAATTCTAATCCGCCATCTGCTGGTTGAAATACAAGCGCTTAAACTAATCACCAACTGCAGTTCTGTATTGCATTATTAATAAGCCTTTCACAGATGGATAAAGCTAAGTAACTCGCCAAAGTAACAGAAAAAAAATGCAAATTTCACTTGTATCACTTCATACTCCTCAATTGATGATTGACAGTTTGACAGAGGTAGAATGGTGTGCAAGACAATGATATGCGTATCTTCAGGGTTTAGCGATGTCACTAATTGTCAGTATTTACCGTATAAAAAATTAGGCACACACACACACACAGTCAGTCATCAATGACATTGGATACACACAGACAATTGTTTATGACATTAGATATTTATTTATTTATTCATTCAAAAGTTGCACATACAAATAAGCAATGCAATACTACACTGATGAAATTTTATTATAGTATAATCAATAATAACAATAATAATAATAATAACCAGTACCATTTCGGATTAGCTGTCAATTCTGCACCAATATCATGTACGGATTCCAATTCTGAAAAAAAAGATAATCAAGAAAATGAGATGGTTGGTAGGAATGCAGAAAACATGGTTGGATGTTTTCAATCAGTCTCATAGTAAACTATATAATAACAATTATTATTATTAAACCAGAAGAAATATTTGGATTAAACTAGTTAGAGCATTTTTTTATTCAAAGAATTTTTATAAGTCAGGTCTAAATTAAAAACAAACACAACAAATATTTGAAGAAAGAGAAACCAGTTCACATAGGTCAGCGTTTTTGGCAACAAACATAAACTAGTAGGAAACAAAAAACTAAAACGAAACAAAACAGTGAAATGATCTTTAAGAAGGACTGATATTCAATAGTTTCTCCAGGATGACAGCTAGAAACACTGGACAGAATACTCTGAGGAGCAATTGAAATACAGTCTCCGTATTATTAGTCTGAATAGAATGCTGGCGTTAGTTCTCCAACTCCAACTTAAGTTCTGAAAGCTATTTCTAATCTAAAACGAGTCAAAGCAACAGCAGCAGAACATGATGGCTGAACTCCAGAGGAATTTAGGGTTGGTGAGGATGAATTAACGGCTAAATTAATTAAAGTGGTAATTCATTTGTGATGTATATCACCACCACCAGCACTGCCCATCCCCACCTAGTTCATAAGAAAGAGTAAAAATCTCTCCAACATAATAACATAACATCCAGTGATCCCAAGGTGCACAGTCATAAGAGGATTAAGTGAAACATGACAAAAACAAACCCGAAAAAACCAGACAGACTTCAGATCATGAGTAGAGTCTGTTTCCATATTAGATAAGTTTATTAGATGTAACATACAGTGATGTATTAGTACTGTATCACTGTGTGTTATATCAAATAAACGTAACTAATATGGAACTATACTCCACCCCAGTGCTCAAATTCTATCCTTAATTTTGCGACTAAAGTTCACTGGTTAAATCCTCTCCCCTCGACAAGCTCTTGAATGCACTTATCATATTTCTTTACAGACGACGAATGTTTGGCTGTGAAGACAAAACTGATAAGGCATATTACGCCAACCAAGACATCTGAATCATGTAAGGGCCTATGTGAAGCTGACGTCTATAATGACGATAACTAGTGATATCTGTCAGAGATGTTCAAAGTCTCAGCTCTTATTTAATTGTAGAATATAAGTACTTATTTGATTCTGATATATTAGAAAATGACATGTAACCGAGGTAATGTCTTCTTATTCACTAACAGTATGAAGACTGTATAGGTAACAAGAAATGAAAAAGCAGTTTCATCACCGTCTTGAGCGAACATTTGAGTGCACTGGTAATGCAACCCACCCCAATAACTGATTTCGAAAAATGAGTTAACCCTAATGCATTGGATGCTGAAAAATGTATCAGCCGGAATAAAAAAGGCTCCTTCGGCATTTGTATACCCCGACCGATAGCTGCTACCTTGACGTGGTGGTCGGGCTTGCGCATCACAATGACCCAACAAGCTACACTGGCTGGAACCAATGTTCCTGCAGGTCCTACCATGCCAGGAAGGTTGTTAGGATAGCGATTAAACTAAAAGCAGTTACCGGCTTTGTGTAAGAATATTTTTGTACACTATGCCTGGGGGTCTGTGGGCGAAGTCGTACTGCTAGGGAACAGAGATGTAACAGCAGTGAGGTGTTTTTCTCAGATGACCAGCACGCCGGCTGGAGAGAGAGGAGAGAGGGTTAGAAAAGGTCCACCCCAAAAATTGTACATCCCGACTTACCCTACGGTGGTCCGTAACCGGTGGTAAGTTTACTAATACGGAACCAATCCCAGAAACCAGTTCATACAGGCCGTGTGTGACCGGCCTCAAACAGTTGTCCCCTGGGCTCTGCGGTCACGCAACACTAACCCTCTTTCTGTTTTAGGTACCCGAAGAGTAAATCAACTTCCACGGTGTGGGCAGCCGGGAAGTAACAACCACCCACACACTTCCAAAAGCAATTCCTACGAAATTCTGTCATATTTGATGCAGACATCATCCTTCCGTTCTACTTCATGGCTGTGAGATGAGGTTGACGAAAGCAGAAGATACAGATATACAAGTAACAGATATAATCATTCAATAGCTCAAGTTAGAAGAAGAATTGCAGTAAATAATAATTAGATTAGACAAAGAATATCAAGTGAGTGATAGATGGAGTTGTGAAGCTTCGTCGAATGAATCAGCAAGGAGAATTTGTAGGTATGCTGAACCAGCACCTGCATCGACGAGATATGCTATTTGAAGTCGAATTAGGTTGGTAAAAGTGAAGAATGGTTGGACTGAAAAAAAAAAATTGAGTTCACCAAGCCATAAATGCATCAAATATTATGCAAACAGACATATGAGAATTACGCCCGCAACGAATTACTCCAATTTATTTGAGATTGTACAGGACAGACAATTGCAACTCTCGTCTTCAAGACGGAGAAAATTCACTAGGTATCAAAATAAGACTTAGCAAAACAAATATGTGACAGATGATTTCAAGCATTGTCGAAAAATGACACTAGAGATGCAGAAACAAACCATTCAAACAGAAATGCTCAAAAAGACAGAAAAAACAAACAAATAAATCTACTTACCGAAGATATGACCACTTCGTTTTGGATACTTTCTTAAGGAATTAAAAGATCGAGCAGAATTAGTAGATGATTCGGTACCTGCTGAAGAGTGTGAGGATAATGATATCTTGCGGTATGAAGTATTCTCAGTAGTTGGTTGTTCCTGTTGACTGACTTCAGGCATATTATACACCGCGCCAACCTCGCCCTTAGTATCATAAGTGCACTGAAAATGTTGTTTTTCCTTTAGCGATAAATTCGATGGGTACTCTGAGCCTTTTTCTTCATTCATATCACATAGTTGTTTGCGGAAAAATTCAGATAAATTCGAACGACCTAATACTGCTTCAGAAAATGAATTCCTTAACATATTATTGTTGTTTGGTGCATCTGTATCTGTATAACTTAAATTCTGTTGTCGTTTCGTTAAACAATCGTATGATAGAGAACGTTTGAATGAAAAACAAGTTGATTCAGTAAAAGAATCAATTGAACTACTCAGAGAGGAAAGATGTGATAGATGAGGATGTACATTCGAAGATTTGGATAATTGATCACCTTTTAAGGGTATAATGGAATCGTGAATAGGTACCACCTCACAGGAGGATTCTGTATTCTGAAATCAAAGGATATATTCACGCTGAGATTACGAAAAAGAGTTAGGTAAGAAACATTGACAAAATAAGTGTAAAATATTTGAAAGTGTCTGAAAGGTGAACAACACTTTAAAATTTAAGTTCCAGTCATAGCGTAAAACCTTAAAATATGTCACTTTACGACGATATACTTAAGGTAATGGTAACTGTGAAATCATCAGAATACCTGAAGAAACACAGATATATTAACAATCGATTGAAACATGAAATCGCCCAATTTAGACTAGTATAGAAGAGAGATTTATGAATTTCTTACGGTTTGTTCACTTGGTATTTATTCCCTTAATAGATATCGGAATATACTGGCTAGGTGGCCTTAAGACAGATCTAAAGAGTTGTGAATCTTAAACATTTATGATGAAAAAAAGAGAGAACAATCGCTTGCAATTCCATGCAAATAGGAATGAGCCATACTTATTGTGTAAAGGCTAGTGATACTAACTGGCTGCTCAAACCTCGGCTGGTGCAGCTAGGTCCCGTGACCTATTGCTCGGAAGTCGACTGCCTAAACCAATAACAGTCACAGCTTCACACCAAAAGTTTGTACTGTACTGACTGGAAACTTGAGTGCTTCAGGAAGTTACAGCATCATAACACGGAAGTAATTTCAGTTACATATAAATCGTATGTACTTAAGTTCTTTAGTTGAGGTAGAAGCATGGTGTATTTATGTTTCACCGAACAAAATGGATTTGCAAAAAAGTTTATTTGACAAAGCTAAACCATTGCATAAAATTGTTATGATAACCTACAACAATGAATTAAAATTCCTACTAGGAAAACACCAAATTGTTTACTCTATTATTATTTGGCATAATTGTCAGTTCTTCTATACGGATCAGAAACTTGGCGGGTCACAAAGAATATTTTCAACAGCCTGTTGCAGACCTTTATCAACAACTGTCTTTGTTCCATACTGAAGATCAGATGGCCGGAAAGAATCACCAACAAGAAACTATGGGAACAAACAAAACAGGAACCAGTCGCCCAACAAATATGCAGGAGAAATTGGAGATGGATTGGACACTCGCTGAGGAGGCCGCTGGGTGACATCGTGCGTCAGGCCAACGCTCGAGTGGAACCCGATTGGGAAGCAACGAGTGGGACGTCCAAGGGTGACATGGAGGAGATCGTGTGAAGAAGAGTTGAAACATTATGGACTAACATGGATGCAGGTGAAAAGTACAGCACAAGACAGAAGCAAGTGGAGATGTGCAGTTGAAGCCCTATGTTCCACTAGGAACCCAAGGGAACAATAATAATAATAATTGTTGCCCATTTTGAAAACCTAATGCACAACGCATTATTCGTGCAAGTACTAGCAATCACCTGATGTTGATAACCTCGACGCAATGTATATATATATATATATATAACACAGTTTAGAGCACTAATAAATGATTGTTCATTAATTCACCTTTTGTCATGCCTGAAGTGACTTGTTTGGTGGTGTCTAGCAGTAGAATTCAGGAAGCGCTCGTCGTTCTATCTGGGACTCGTGAACTAGATGTACTTCCTTCTCAGTAAGTGAAGATATTCCTAGTGAGAGACTATTTAAAGCAATGATCATAGCAATATTCACAAAAGAATATTCCTACACAATATTTATTTTCCCTCCCCTAATAAAATTCTCTTTGTTGTATAGCAGATATCTTTAAGTAGATGAAAATTAAGTCGGTGATATACATTTCGCGTGCCACCAATTTACTGACATTTAATTGAAAGGTAATAAATGGCTGTGATGACATTTTACTACACCACTTTCAGATGCACACGATTAAATTTCAAGTTATTCATACTTTTCACTAGCCATATCTTAAAAACTCAACAGATTTGTGTACTTGCATACTTCATAGACAAATTCAGAAGGTTATTTTATAGGGATTTGACTTTTTTCAAGTTTAACCACAGATTGGTATCATTTAGAGAACCACTGAAAACCAGGAAGTACTGGACGGATGTTTCGTCCTAGTTTGGGACTCATCCGTGATCAAACTTTAAGCAAATAAAATCCTTACAAACTAACTCTTGAAAATTAATCTGATGCTTGCTAGTGACTGGCTGCAGGACTAAGCTGCCTGGAGTTCTAGTAGGAAGTCGTGATCCACCCGGTCGGGAGTGAGGAGCAATACTCGCTACCTGTGACACTGTCTGGTGGTTGCTATTAAATCACGAGTTGGCAGGAGTTAGAATTCATGGGCTGGCCATTGAGTCGGGTCCCAGGGACTAAATGGCCTACGAGTTTATCTTGTAACCGGAAGGTGCTAGGTTTGAAACACAGTTGGTGCGTGCTGTAGATGAGTTCCAAACTAGGACGAGACAGTTGTTCAGCACTCCCTAGTTTTCAATAGTTCTTCAAACTTGAGACAAATTTCAATCAACTCAAGTAAAACTAGAGAATTACACTGGTTGTGATCCAGTAGCCAATTTCTATAGCCACTTCCATTCTTCTTCTAACATGAAAGACCTTAGATCTACTATACGTTTTACAATGTAGCACATTTGCGAAATCTAGTATTATACAATAATAACCTTCATAACGTGTTGAGTCAAATGAAAAGTGACAAGCCATCTACCATCAACAGATTTCTGACATATATACTGATTACCGAGTTCATTGAGTATTGTTGATATATTTGTGTCTCAGAAAGGTTCCATAAATGAACACGTGTGACCAAATTAAAGCATTACAGATATTCACACAGTATATTGTCTGTCAAAAGTATTCATCCTCTACATTTTTGTTGAAACATGATAGATTTTCTCATGGAAATACCTGTCTTCGTCTGACTTAAGACGCATGTACCTACTCGCAGGAATTTTTTTATTTAACCCACAGTAAACAAATGGAACAGATTTTTTAGTCAAGGACTCTTAAGAGATACGGATTTCTTGAAAGACTAAAGGACTATTGAGAAATGCTAGGGATCCACTTGCAATCTCCTAAATGTAAGTCACTAATCTAAGAGTGATTAAGTTTAATAGTCATGTGGAACCACAACAATTGAGATAGTTGAGTCTTTCGACAATTTCACCTGCTTAAAAAGCCATATTAGTCTTATCAAGGTTTCCGGCTAAATGTTAGCACACACATGAAAAGCTTGTTTGGTTCTGCTCGACTACACGATATGTGAGACAAGAGACATTACCTGACCGTTTGTGCAGAGTGAATTATGATGAGCAACAAGGCTTTCCATTCTGCTCTATGGTTGTGAAATATTCTGAAAAGGTTCCAGGTAAACTTCGTATCCTGGTCCACATTTGACAGAATCACTGCATGGATTAGATATCGAAGCTTACGTAATAAAAACATGTCAGGTAATGATATCATAAATAAAGAATATTCTTCACCAAGGTCTTCAGTTATATATTCAAAATAGTGAAACACTAATTTTCTATAGTTTGGTTTGTAAGGATTGGTTATGTTTTACGGGTTCGAATCCCAGTGGGTGCGTACTGCCGATGATTCCCAAACTAGGATGAAACAGCAGCTGTCCAGTACTCCCTGGTTTTCAATGGTTCTCTAACTGATATCAGTCCGTGATCAACTCGTGAAACACTAATTATTGTTGACGATTATTATTATTATTATTGTATCCTTTAATTCCTACAGGAACATAGGGCTTCAGCCGTGCGTCTCCATTGCGTTCGGTTCTCTGCTAGAGTCTTCACCTGGCTCCAAGTCTGTCCACACGTTTTCATCTCCTCTTCACATGACCTCATCCAAGTCACCCTTGCACTGACGACCAACTCGCCGCTTCCCTTTCGGGTTCCACTAGAGCAATGGCTTGTCTAGTGATGTCACTTGATGCATTGTTTCCTTAGAGTATGGCCAATCCATCTCCATTTCTTCCTGCCTATTTGTTTCACAATCGGTTCCTGGTTGGTTCGTTCGCTTCCAGAGATCCCTCCCTGTTGCTGATCTTTTCTGGCCGGCCATCTGATCTTGAGTATTGAGCGAAGACAACTGTTAATGAAGGTCTGTAGTTTGTTTGAGATGCTCTTTATGACGCCCAGTGCAAGTCTCTGATCCGTATAGTAGCACTGACTTCACATTGGAGTTGATAATCCGGATCTTATTTTTGATGCTGAGTGCTGTTGACCTCCACACAGACTTGAGAGTAGTGAAAGCTTGTCTAGCTTTTCCGATTCTTGCTTTGATATCCTCGTCAGTTCCGTTCGCCTGTAGTTGAAACGACGGTTCCCAGGTAGGTAGTAGAGGTTGTTTCTTTCAGGTTCCTCCCATTTATGTTGACGATAGTAACGGTTTTTAACTAACATCGAATTACTAGACTAGAAATTTCAAGAGGTGTAAGTATATATAAATCGATTGTGAATAGATTACAGAAGGATAAGCTACCAAGTCTGGCCACTTCAATGTGCATTTGTAAATTTAACTGTTCATGTGGAGACAGTTACATAGGTAGAACGACTCGGTAAGCCCGCCGTCGCCTTCTGGAGCATTGTCCAACGTGGTTAAGTAAAAGAGTCGTAAACTTAATCATCGTTCATCAGCCTCAACAGTTGTCATTCCACATAGATCAGAAACGTCAGACGATATCAGAAGAGTCCTCAATAAGCTCGACATCAGACACATTACAAAGCAACCTTGTCCATGTAAAAGATCAAATCCCTAAGGATTCTCAATCTAATTTGTGTCTACAAAATAAAATGCTCGAAATATGATACGTTATACATCGGACAAACCTCGCCAGAGAGAAATCAAAATCAGAAGAAATGAATACCGTAGAGCATTTGTTCGATCACCAAGAAATAAATCCAGTTAAACTAGAAAAGCTTGAAAAATCATCAGCCATAGGTCTACACGCTTTAGAATCAGGCCACAAAATTGATTTTGACAAGATTGAAATCATCATCAAGAAAAATTTCAGAAATCACAAAGAACGTCTGATATCATCGGAAGCACTTCATATTAACAAATGGAATCCAAATTGTCTAAATAGGAATGATGAACTAAAACAGAATTTGACCGGGTTATAATACCCCCTCCCCCATGAAATGACAAAATCAACACGAATGTAATAAGCAATTTCATTATGTAAACACATGCTGCTGTAACAATTTTACACACTTATCAAATCCAACAATGTACACCTTTGTGTGCTCTTTGGAACGTGGCAACTCGAACTGCTGCACCTCGGTGCCAAGTTCTATGTTGACAGAAATAAATACAATGTACACCTCGTTTTCTTATCTTTACCGATTGGCCAATTTGACAAAGCAAAAATGACTCCATGCTGAGGAACGATGATTAAGTTGTTATATAAAAGCTGAGATTTTTTAAAATTCTGGTTTAATAATACTTTGATAAAGCTATTAGCAGCTTTAAATAGAGAAATGTCAGTTAAAACAATGTCGTTTTGTTTTTTCATTCATTGGGAAATACAAAAACTTTTATAATAATCGACATTGTAAAACTCTAATACCTGATGAAACTACATATTACGTGAGGCACTTTTACCCACTACTTTTTCTTGATATAAAACACCAACGAGAGAAGAAATACCCCGAGAAAAGGAGTAGAGTAACCAAACTACAGCATAGCACCAGGTCAATGACAGCTTGTTTGCGATGTACATGACTGAGGTCTACTTAATCACAGAAAATTAGAGTAACAGACTCTAGACAATATAGTTTAGAATCAGTCACAGTGATGCAGACGCATTAACATATTCTTTTCAGCCTAGTTTTAGATACGGAATATTTTTATTAGCTTTATCTTTTCTTCCCTTTGTCGTGAAGCATTCTAAGATCGTTAATTATATACTGTCTTTCTTTATGTCACCATTTCCTTGGCGTTCAGATATGCGATGCTTTAGTACCAACCAGATACACAATAATACCATGAGGATAATGACTGACTAACTGATGAGTTATCGTTTATTACATAGAAAACAAACAAGATCACCACGAAAAGTTAGGCTACAAATTCGCGCGGCAGTCAAATACATGAATGCCATATCAACAAAAATTTTTCCCTACGCGCGACTTGCTTGTTTGATGTCAACTATATTCAAGTTAAACAGAAACTGAGCATCTCGACCAATAAAGAGAAAATAGGTTAAGATAGGAATATTTTACGAGAAAGTTAAAGGAATTTATAATATTGAGGTAAAATGAGCACATTTTGTTGTTCCTCAACATAAGCAGTTCCCGACTAGTAACCAATATTATAACACACAAATATGATATTTGCCACTGACAACGAGAATTTTTTTACGGTATATGAAATAAAAGATATACGTCTTAGGTGATAGATTGTTCTAAATTGTACCGCTTATTTGTACATACTAGAATGGAAAACTTTCTTTCTGTGCTTCATATACCTTCTTAATGATAACAATGAAAAACAGAATTACAGTATGAAACGGAAATATATTAATTAAAACGTTTGCATAAACAAAATTTATTAGTAGGTAACTCCTAATCTCATGAATTTACATAATTCTCTATTAACACGAAAATAATTTACAGAATAATAATTATCCACCAATTGTATATACATTAAACAATCAATGTCATGCAGAAGCAGATACTTACGACTGAAATGTTTGCACCAAGATTTCCTGCAAGTTGATTTGAAGAATCTTGTTGAAATTCAGATGAATCCTCCTTTTTCGATACACGTTTAGACGGCTTTTTTAATTGTGATGTTAACTGGTGGTTAGAGTTCATCACATGGTGGACATTATCCTTGAAGTATGACTGAGAACGTGAGTCAGGGTGAGCGTCATTGACTGTTTCAAATGGAACACCTTGGTCATCAAAACCAACTAAATCAGTGTTCTTTTTAACCGGAACAGTTTCTGATTCAGCTTCACTTTCCTCCACATCCGCATCGTGTCCACGACTTGAATTCCCATGCTTTGAACTATAGCTATTTTGGCGTCTGCGCCTACGAACCAGTCTTGGTCTATGCTCTAATATCTGAGAACTATGAAGAAGTTTACTTCTTCCACATTCTTCTTCCAAAGTTAGTGGAGACTGAGGACCCTCTGTTTCGTGAGTTATATCAGATTCATTTAATTCGCATTGATTATTACCACTTTGTCTGTAAATAGTGGAAAATTCACCATGATAATCACTGTTAGGATGAGCTGAATAGGATTTATGGGATGAAGTTAAAATTTTTCGAAACTCTGGATCACCGGATTTCCAGTGTATATTTCTTTGTGACTTTCCATAATCTCTGCATACTAAATCTGAAGGGTTGTAATATTCAGAACAGTTGTTCTCATAGATATCTGGATGCTCTGAATTATTATCTACATTCTCTTGGTTATGAAGTGGAGAACTGCTCAAATGATGATTTGCCGAGTAGCTGAAGACATTGTAAGTATACACGCAAGTTACAATTTAATATGAGGTCAAATCTATTAAAATAGTACTAATAAACAGTACATTGGTGAGTACATGTATGAACTGCGTTTAGCTTTGAAATTTACAAAAAAAAACAGTTTATTTTCGGGTATCTCAACCAATACCTTTCAGTGAAAGTCACGTTACACACATAAATTAGAGTGGTAGGCGATGGTCAATCAGGTACAAAATCCGGCTCGAAGGCTTCTTACCGATTGCCTCCGATCATCTAATAATTAGCAAAATAGCACAAAACCAGACTAAAATAAAAGCTCGGCTACATCACACAAAGATACAGTCAGATGGGACAAAGTGATAGTCTTAAAATCTTGTATAGCAGAGACTGATGAGTCAAGCTCTATTTATCAAATCAACTGAGAATACGGGCAATAGGGGGATTTAACACGTGTTCTGACGATCTGGAAAATTTTACTACCTTTAAAATAAGTGGCAAAGAAGAACGAGTAGTATAAAGACCGAGTTTCGAAGTTGCGTGGTTATAGTTAATATGATTATAAACAATAAATTCTGTTTAAAACTTCATCCAGTGACCAATGTTGTTTCACTGTTTCGATAAGCAAATCAATATAAATTCACATACTAGCACAGTATCCAAGTTTTATACAGAATTTAATTATAACTATTTAATCGTAAGTTCTCACACTAATATTATATGAAAATCGGCTCTTGTTATGAATAACTTAGAATTTATTGAGTATTCATGTACTTAAGACGACTACTGCCAAAAACTGCACAGAAACATTAAGATGAACTCCAACTTTAAGCATCTGATGGAGAAATAATGGCAATACTCGAGAATTAATCAGAAAGAGACTTGGAATTTCATCAACAGAATAACAAAATGCTAAGTTGGCTATCACCGGTGAACCAGACACTGCAAGTGTAACTGACTGGTTTCTACACTGATATAATCTTTTTTTATTCTACAACTAATGTTCCCATCAGAACTGGTAAAATCTGTGTTGTACAGCGTAAAAATCTTAAAAACAGTGCATTTAGGAAGAAGCCTTCTAATGAATGCATTTTTGAGGTAATAGAATCCGAGCCAAGTGACTTGTTTTTTTTTATTTTCTCGGATACACCTGGCAAAATCATCCGATGTAGGTGGATAACACACAATAATGGTGCTATATTATTTCCGTATAGTAATGCACTGATGATGCTCTTTCAAAAAACCCTATCTAATAACTTCATGTAGTGGTTTCTCGGGTTCCACGCATATTCTAAAGATAATGAAAAATATGGGCAAAAAAAGATTCGGATTCTCATATGAGACTAAATATTCAAATAAAAAAACCAATTACAAAAAAGGCTAAAAAGTTTAGAAATCAAAGCCATTGTATTGAAATGTAAAGCGAAAAACATTTCTATTCACAAAACATGATACTTATAGACTTACATATTATTTAAATGCTGTCGACTTTCTGAAGTTGATGAATGCGTAGGATGCCGATTATATTCATTAGGTCTTTTCAAATTATTCTGTGTACTCCCATGTTTATTAGTCTGTAAGTTATCTGGACAGTGGTGGTAAAAGTTTGCATTTAAATTGTGAACCTGATCAGCCGTATCCTTGAAAGACTGAGCGGATAATGGACCATCCTTTACAGATGAATATAAACTAGTCTTCCCATGCGGGGCGGTTATATGTGCATGAAGAATACCCAGGCATACAGCCAATAAACAAGGGAGAAGAACATCATCCTGTGAACTCTAAACCGAAAAAAAAAGATTTTAATTATGTAAGCCATAACATTATTAAGGGCTATAAGAAATACGTCACAATTTTATAAGTTATGACGAAAGGTATCTGTCGCTCAAAAAAAAGGCCGCGAAATTATAAAAATATAACAACATTTGCATACCATAATACTAGGCTAATTAGCTTCGTCAAAATACAATGAGTGTTGTTAGAACAAATTTCACATTGATATCCAGCACGTGCTGAAGATAATCAAGAACACAATCATAGGTATCAAAGCGAATTACTAACCTGACTGCACATTTTTAAACCACTACTTCTATATCAAAGCAAAAATAGATGTATGCAGATAGACATATGGAAACAATATAGGACCTTATACTTCTGTATACAATATAAATGACAAATGTATTCATTTAACTGTTGTTGTATAAGATACAGACTAAGAAAACACTAAATATTATGAACTGCTTCAAAACACTTAATTTCGGTTCACTCGTACTTTTCACTTGAATAATACCTTTGAACAGTCATGTAAATGAAAGCTTAGGGATGTAAACTTACATTGCTAGTTCGTGGATCCGTTAGAAGAAAAAATACGACTTGTAGAAATTGTAGAAAAAAGTGAACCATGATATAGACAGCAACACGAAACGATGTATGCCCACGCCAATAATTCCAGAAAAACGGAGCAAACGCTACACGAAGCAAACCCAAACGTATAGCTGACATCCATCCATGCCTAGGTTTACCTTTGTTAAAAACTGAACCTTAAGAAAAACATTCAATAAAAATCAACAGAAAGTTACTTAAGTTAGACTAAGGGTCCATCTCTTTCAATTAAAACTGAGCAATTAATACGTCCTGTTATGGGTAACAATTTAATGTGATGCATTAATTTACGACGAATATTCCAAAGTTCTTTCAGACTGTTTTTTATTGAATTGAAGCTAGATCAGGTCACTAATCCACAGAGCATTACTGCTTCAGTAACTTCATTATGCATGAATATTTACAGCGGATTGTGCCATATGCTTCCAACTCTATTCGAAATTGGACAAGACAACGGTATACCTTAGAATTCATTAGTTGCTATTCTTAGCTGTAATTTTTCATAAGATTTACGACCTTACTGAGGAATTAAGCATGTTTGTTAGTTGCAAATGTTTTAGATATTTCTGTAATTGCTTTAAAGCAGTTAAAGAACTTTGGTACTCGCTTCCTACAATGCTATAACAAAATAAACAGCAGTCTTAAAATCATTGTCATGAGGGTATCATCAACTAAGTTACGTATGTTTTATTTCCTACCGGAGTTATCACGAAGTGCACGAACTACGGTTGTTTTACGTATTTGCATGACAGCTTACTTCATTAAAACGCAAAAAAGAGTTTTCCTCGTGTATTGTTCTCATACCTTCATATTCATTAAAATAAACACAGGTATTAAAATGTAAACACTGTGGTAATATGGTGTTTGTGAAGCAGAATACTGTCGTTAACTAGTAATCAGCACTTTAATCCAACGTTAACTTAGCAGTACATTACAGATACATCGGTTATTAACCAGTCGTATTCATGGCATGACAATCAAAAAACCTTCACAGTTCTATACGGTATCTAATATCAAAGCCATAAACGAGTTGAAATACCTCTAACAACTTTCTGATCAGTTTAAATTGTTTTAGCGAAATAACTGTAGTATAAAACTTTTGACCAAGTATATTTGTCACATTAAGTCACAAAGCTAACTAACATCTGGTTAGTCAGGTAGACAGGAACGCTTGTTGAAACACAAATAAAACAGCAGACAAAAGATATTGTAAAAATGAGTACCTTCAGCTGGTATACTTAAGTGATAACCACTACACATTACACTATGGATTAAGATGAATGAAATTATTGTTCGCACAACATTCAATGGAATAATAATCAACAACTCCTTTGGTAAGAGCTCTAAGTGTAATACGCACATCACTCATAGGATCTTGGCATGAATGCAAAACCAAATTATGAAACCGTTACTTTGCTTAACCATTGACCAACGGATTAGGTTACGAGATACAGTAAAATGCAGAGTGGAGTCTTGTGTAGTTATGATACATAAACAATGACGATGGAAAAACTGAGAAACTTATCACACCGTGACAAACTGAAGAGTGATATGACGCCCAGTGACTTTGAGGCTACATATATTCATAACAAGCAGTAATTTAATAAGAGAAGCAATCAATACTTATAACTGCAACAGTGACTTCATATTTCATCCAGTGAATCTATTGCCAATAATAAAATAATATATTCTTGTTATATGCAAGCACTCCTAAACCTTATGGATATCTTTCGCCTCATTATTTAATTTATGGCTACTAAAGAAAACTAACGGACACATCTTTTTTCACCTTGTCGAAGTTTGGTGTATGATTTTAGAAATATGATTACACAACTAAAATACCGGAAGTAAACGACTCCAAAGTAAAACAACCTGTAGAAATAAAAAGTATGGAATAACTGCATACCCCGTACTACATCGACATCGATAAGACCAGCCCGTGCTTTTCCATCATGAGCAGAATGTTGATCTATTCCCTAAAGCGAACAAAGGATAAGTCATTATTTCCTCAAATACGAATTTGAAAATAACAGTACATTTAAACATCTTTTCAATGCAGTGAATAAACCTGTAAAATGGTCAATACTACCATACATCTATACAGAGTTGAATGTAGTTACATCATACACCCTATCGATTAGTACTTAGAAGCTTTATGTCGAGCAAGTTTATCTCTGTGAAACAGAAGCCAAGTATTAAACTTGACTTATCGCTTATCTACTTGATCCCAGCGACGAATCTTAACTATCCAGGTGCAAAAAGATAAGTTTCAAATGAGTACTTATCGTAAACGACTGAGTTACCAACGTAAGTGGCATCATTAGGTATGTCATGCATGAACAATAGTGAGAAGTGGTACATAACAGTATATCACGCGTTGGCGGAGAGACTCAGTATAAAAGTGCAGTGTTATAAAGAATAACAGAGAAGCCCGAGAGCACCTCATTCTACTTATCATTTGAAGTCTACTGCATTTTACACTGAATGGATACTGACTCCGTGTAGAGATGTCATTATACAACTGGTTTAGTTGACAGTGTAGCAAGCAATCACTAGTCCCTGAGTGGTAACAGGTCTTCCAAATGAGAATAGAGCTCCTACTTAATTCATGCTTTATTGATAAGTGACTATAGATGTGACCACTAACTTTAGTCAAAAAATCAAGCGTGCGATCCTAGAGTACATTCTCATGAAAACTATAAAGACCAACATCACCTAACCATAAAAAAATCACAGTGGGTGCAAACACCTTCTTAAGAGAAGGGAAAACGAGTACGTGTATATCACTCGATCATTAGATATGATCAGAACATTTGTGTCCACGAGTTACTAGTAAAGCAAAATACGTTCCCGTCAAGAATACGAAAGTTAATTTGAATACAAAACTAGTTCTCATCTATTAACTCTTGCTGGATGTCATCACCAACAAAGTCCAGTATAAAGAATTTCCAGCTTTCCTTCCAATTCTAATGTAAACACATGAAATTTTAAATAAATGCACATTTTCAAGTACTTTTCATTTTTTCACCACCTTACAATGTGTTAAATTTATGGGCGTTCATGAAAAAAAGCGACAACTCATATGCTGTCGAAGTTTAGTGGGACACAACATTTACTACTAAAACGCTTTTCCCGGTGTGAATGAACCAGAATCCCCACAGAAAAACTCAAAACTATTAATTTTAAATAATTGTATTAAAGGATTCGTATAAACTCAGGTGTGCAAATCTTAAATTCCAAACGTACTTGCAAAATTCGTTGCTCAACACTATGTTCCCAAGGATGCTTGTCATAATTACTTAGCTACATAAGAATTATGCTTAAATCCCGAAATGAATTACTTTTAGCTGGAAAACCTTGACGTACGACTCAAAACTCCGCATAATCTAGGCATTCGCGGGTGTGATTACGAACAGACCGCGTTAATCCGTTACAAATTATGGACTTAAATTTACTCTCGCGTTGGCTGCAAGAAACAACAAATTTATTTTACTACCCTACTGGTATAAAATTTTGGAATGTCAATAGCCTAAAACTAAGGTGTTTTTTCGAAAATAACTGCTTATCTTCACTGCTAAAGCGGAGTGGTCAGGCTGAATTAACTGGGTCAAGTATCTGTATAACTTGGCCTCATGTGATATTACGTTCGGTTTTTCCACAACAATCCCTGATTAACTAAAGACACACTGACTTCGTAGAGTTAGTCCTCAGGCACACGTCATACCTTGTATGATCAGTTTGTTACTTGGCTTTCTCTTTCAGTTCTGCATCAAATAAGCGTAATACAGTAGTAGGATGAAATCTGTTTACAAGTTTCACACCTGCCATACACACTGCACTCAAAAGTATCATTATCCACAGCTAATTGTCAAAAACCCGTACATTTCGAACCTAAATCGTATCCATTTATTCACTTCCAAAAATTTCGAGGCTGATACCGGGAACTGATCCCATAAATTAAGATCAAAAATTGGTTTAGAGTGATGAGGGTTTGTTTGCATCTGTGCACACTAAAATAAAGAACAAGTACTTGTGAAAGTTCTCAGTAAGACAAATTGTTTTAAAGTGGAAATAAGAACGGTTTTCTCGCCAGATGTCCCAAAATAGGCTACAGTGACGCAGTGAACGTCAGTGTCGGATGAAAAGAGTGTGAAAAAGTTACGAGTAGTATGTGATATGAGAAGTGAAATCCTTCTCATCTTCTTCATGACAATGACGTCTCATTGGGCATTTAAGCTAGGTGAAGAATATGGCTACTGATACTATCGTAGAATGCTTCCCGAATTTCAAGGACATGACCTAAGCCATTTGAAACGGGGAATTTAGCCAACATGGCTAACAAAATTATGGAAATTTGTCTAGACACCTGCATGGGTTATATGTTGGAAGAACCATCACCATCTGCTTAGAGTTCGACAACAAAAACGCTAATTCTATCCAGTCTACAGCGGGTACATTTAGCTTTCATGGCACGAACTGCTGAGTTAAATGCCACTCGGTCCACCAAATGTATAAAGATGCCTCATCAGTGATGAAACACCATGTAAACTCAACAAGGCAATAATGGAGACATCTGTTAGTGGCAATTGTTTAAGTTGCCTTTTGTGCATGATTAAAAAACTAAAGATACTTCATTTTTACAGGGTTTGGAGGCAGAATTTGGCGTCATCTGTCGTACACTATACAGGGAACCTACAAACAACTGGGAGACAAGCAATTGTGGCCCCATCTCAAACCGAATCACAGGCCGATTTTTAACAGACTCGAAGATAACATTTTGGTCTGCCACTGTTTTACGTGGATATCCGTAGCACTGGACGCCTGACCGTGCAAATTTACCATATGCCTTCAATATGTCTTTTAAAGTCAGCATCTAAAAGTTCACTTGAATATTTCTGTCTACATTCGTTGTAACATCTGCACCGCACAAATGCTGTCAAGGTAAAGCTGGAGGCGTCACTTCAAGCAGGGGAAATGCCATATAATCGCATCAGCAAGATAGGCAAGATTTTGTTCGTTCACTCAACTACAACAAAATTACCCTCTCTTAACCTAATTTCAAGTAGTTTGCAGTGGTTCGGCCTATCAATAATCATTGTGCTGTACCTTCTTCATGTGTTTGATGGCTTGATAAATATCATGGCATCTTATCCGCTCAAATTTCGGATTTTACTGTCTTGGAAGAAAAGTCGTGAATCTTCACGCCCGCCTTTCTGCGGTATTTTGAGAGTGTCGCCAAATTGCGATAAATGGGTACTTTAAGAAACGTAATAAAGCATTAGGATGCATGCGTACACTGTTGGGGCGAAAAATGGCATCTTGCTTTCAACCCAGACAGGCGCACCTTTGACGCTGGGAACCTAGCATGTATCTATATATGAACGGTCGGCTCCTCTCAAAACCGATAACATACTCAGGTATAGCTCCTTCCAATCCTGCAAATCAACGAATTACTGGCGTAACTTTTACGCCCAAGAAGCAAGATTAGCTATATATAAGACATGTATCCGCCCCACACTTGAATATTGTGCTCTCCTATTTTAAAATTAAGGTCTGCGGACCGAAAAACCGTCGAAAGTGTCCAGAGATTCCTCAAGAAGCGCATAATAGGGTTTGACCAACAAGTGGAATATGTTGACAGGTACATACGACTGAAATTAGAACTCTTATGGTTAAGCAGAGTGAAATGCAACCTGTTTATACTCTTCAAAGTCATTAGGAAACATTCTTATAGTAACTCATCCATAACGTGAGAAAATATCAAATCATATAAGCTAAGAAACAATGGTTAACTTCTTAAGGCGGTTACCCACAGAAAATCCATTAGGGCAAACTTTTTCACCAATAAATATTACACTCTTTGGAACCAACTAACCATCTGAAATTAGGTGTTGTGAAAACCACGATGGGTTCAAACAGAGCCTGGAGAGGCGCATTAACATGTCCTCCCTATCTCGTCTCAAAGACTAAACTGTTGGTAGAATGTTAAATGAAAGCCAGTCCAGTCTTCATTGTGGTCAACTACGTACAACTCGACCCTACTAATTACGAATTGAGCGTTTAACTAATTTACTGATTTTCTATTCTCCATATACTTCATTAAGTTGTGTTAGTCTTAGCACTTCTAGAAACAATTATATTAGCAACCACATCTTGCATTATTTTACATATACATAATTACTAATTCACTGCTATTTTTTATCTTGAAATTACCACATACAGCCAATAACTACCTTTTCTCATGTACCTCTCAAAAATGTATAATTTTATAACATTTCGCGGTATTTTTTTCCATAACATAAGTTGATGAGTTACTTTGCAATGTCTAACGCATGCCATATGAAAATCAGTCATGAAAAGTTAGCATAACTAGTTCTGTCAACCAGCTGTTTCCATCATGATCATTCTACATAATTTCATCACTACTTGCTTCACTAGTCATTTCACTCCGCTAAATAGACGACAACTTAGTTGTTGTAGTACTTACCACTCCTATACTTTATAAAACCTTATTTCCCAGTCGTTTTTAATAACTACTTGTGAACACATATGCATATATAACGGTGATGCTGCTAAGAGTGTCCTCACGTATCGATGTATCTGGTGACCTCATGGGAGGCATTTGTCATAAAAGCTGTTGATGTGCAGCACACTGTATTACTGGGGTGGGCTCAAAGCAATGCAATGCTGCAACTACAGTTACTGACCAAGTCAGTCTCAGAGTTTAGCATCAAAAACGGGGTGGGGTGACGCATTGTGATCAGCAGACATGGCATTGGTCACAGACGTGAATTGCTCCGACCTGTGGGACACCAACATGCATTTCTTATGGCTCAAGAATTAAACATGAGTCTGGATCCTTAAGAAAAAATAAGGGTTATACAGATATAGACTATAAAGTAAATGCTTTTACTCCTACCATCTACAAGCCTGTTCGGCTTCTTATTAAGATGCTACCCCATTGGCCCTACGCATATTTATGAGATATCTTACAGGTCTCCTTGTCCTCCGGGTTCTAATCCTCCAGAACTTTGAATTCACTTCTCACTGAAATAACTACCTCATGCTAATCTTTTTATTCACGCACCACCATACTCTATTTTATCATAACTATCTAGTCCTTTATTGAAGCTAAAACAGCCTTAGTTCATATTTGTTGCTCGCTTAAAGTTTGATTGCTTTGATGAAAAACGCAGCAACGCCAATGTTTGAGGGAAGCTATATTTTCATCGAAAGCGTCATTGTTTCCATGCTTAAGCCAGTATGGTTTATAATAATACTTAACTTTATTCCAAAGACAGTATCCAAGATAAAGAATGGAATTCTCAGCATTTGTCACAATACTGCATCTGATTTGCTCAAACCATAGATAAAATTAAAAATTAAAACAGAACTAACCAGAGGAATTTGTCCACATTTACGATATAAAATCAAAAATATCCGAAGGGCCAATTAAGAATATTAAATATAATGATAATAAAAGTGAGTTTGTTCCAAACAGTATTATCGATTCGGCCTGGAAATTTTAGCATGTTATAGATTATTGGATCTGATGTTCCGCTGACATAGTATGGTGAGGGGAAATACAGAATTGACAGCTATAACACAGCTTAAATGATGTTCACACTTATGAAAAAATAAACAAAAACAAAAGATTGAGAAGATTATGAATTTAAGAAATAAAATAACAATAAAGTTTGATGTTGAAAGGGTGGAGGAAATGGTCTATTTACTAGTGCAACGAAGGTTAGTTAGTTCATGCCTGACACTAATTTCCTTAAAATAAAGTACGTGCCAAATACGGTATAGTGGAATTTTTATAATTACACATACGTGCATAAAGTTCTTTGAAATGACTTCTTGTTTCACCTGAGGAGACACGAGGTTGGAGCTGCAGGTAAAGTGGATGCTCACATTCTGACAAAATTCATTTAGTAAATTTGTTATAATAATAATAATTTATATTTCGTATAAACGGGTAAGTTTACAAGAAATGCATGACATCAACTGCCTATCAGTGACAATGTCAACGATATGGCCCAATGGGATACCACTCGTCCTACCGACGGTCTTCAGAGTTCTACGAAGTATGACATAGTCTTTTTAAGCAATCCAGGAGGCAGTAAGGGTGAACAGTAAAGAAGAATAGGTAAAATGCACGAGTTGACAAACTGTAAGAGGAGTGGTTGGGTTATGCCTGAGTGCCTTAGCTTCTTAACGTAAAAAGTCAAACGAAATATTCTTTTAGAAATCGCCAACACATGAAAATACCAAGATAGGTCAGAAGAGAGAACTAATCCAAGATACTTAACTTCAGGCTTCTAATATATATCAATATCATTAATTTTTAAACGATTATAGGAACCGACAGCTTCATTTAACTTTCTTTTACATAGGAAACTGAAATTAATAGTCTGATATTTGGAAGGATTTAGTTTAAGGCCACAAGACGAAAACCATTCGCAAACTCCTGATAGAAAGCTGTTCATCTTAGTACAGTCTAGCTGAGAGTTAACAGACATTTAAATAGTTAGAT